TTGAATAAAAACTAGAAAGTTAGCTTCTTACAAAATAGAATCTTCATAGTGACTTGTGGGGGATAGATGTAGACATGAAGAGATTTATGCACGACTGCCCAATTTGTGCAAGTAGGTCCTTGCTTCAGGAGTTGGTTGTGTTTAACTTGGTGCTTGGTGAGTGGCAGCAAAGAGGGAGCAGTTTGTTTGGTTTTTCAGAGGTTTTTTTTGTCACAAAGAAATTTTACTTTACTAGAAAAAAAGATAGTCCTAGGTTTGTTTAATAATAACTAGAAGATATGAAAACTGAAGAAAAATTGGGGAATTATTTTGCCATTAAGTTGATAGGGAAAAAATGTAGGAAACAGTCTCAGTGGGCGGAGGTGAGTGAATACAGAGTTCTCAGATGTTGGGAAATTATAAGGAAGTTCTTAAAACTAATGTGAGTAAAAAAAGTTACTATTAATCTCTGTCCCCTATTCTAGACGTAGTTCGGGTTTAGTACATGTCTTTCTTTTTCATGCTTAATGTGGTGTTTCCTTTTGCTATCGTACAAGAAGATGATGCTAGTTCTTTATGCAAACGTCATCTTCAAGCAAATTAATAACAGTAATGTATATACTGAAAGCAATAGTTATTTGAGGGCATTTTGATTTTAATAATAAATGTTCTGATAGTACATAAGTGGGTGCAGAGTAGTATGTGTGAGCATATCCTAGTTTTGCTTAATATTTTATATGTAATCTGCATCATTTGTCTTCATTTTATTCTAATTCTAGGCCTTATACTGTCTTGTGTCTGCAGTCTGGTGATTTTTCCTTACAGTTTCTGTGCTGCTTTAAGCAGCTCAATCCTTCCCCCCATTTTCACTTCTTCACTTCCCGACATTGTACCCTCCATTGCAAAACTACAGGCCGAAGTGGATCAGGGGACTGATCCCGGTGTTCAGTATCTCCCCCATCTTGGCTTTTTACTACCACTGAGAGAAGAACCATAGCTCAGTTCTCTGGATGCAGTTTTGCTGATCTGATGCATAGTTTTAGGTTTCTATGATCCAAAATTGGTTACTTGTAAATTACTTTCATTAAAATACAAATGTAATATAAACGTGAATATTTTTGGTATATGGTAGAGACTTGCAGTAAAAGTATGCTGACAGATTTTTATGTCTTCATTTGACAAAAGAATGCAGAAGGCAGAGACTGCAGAGATAACGGATGAGAAGGGATGGGCTGGTTGGATTAGGATATTTTGGAAAAAGGCCGTTAAGAGAGAAACAGAATTGCTTTGACCATTTTACATTTAGTATTTCAGCCCTTGTAGTAACAATTGTTGGTCCATCTCTCAAAAAAATTACAGTACTTTCTGTCAATTTTTCTGATAACTTTATAAAACACTTGATTTTGTTCAAAGCTCTGATTCTATCTTGATTATCATTGTTCAGATGTACTAGTACTTGCTTTCACTAAGCCAATTTCCTTTGAATCTGTGAATCCTCAGTGCATTTCAGAAGCTCTGTACAGTTTTAAATGGCTAATAGAAGACTGACAAGCCTGAAAATTAACTTGTAGCAAAGACCTGAAAATGAGGAGAGTTCTTACAGTCATCCTGACAGAAGTTTCTTTAGATTTTGATTTTAATAAATGTATACTCTCATGTGCATTGGACATAAATCACACATGCCACTTAGTAGTGCCATTTTGATTTCATTTTATAGATTATTATAAAGTATTATAGGTATTTATACAGATTTATTAGAGCAGCTGCTCAATTTTCAGTTCTTTCAGCTGAAAGAAGATACAATGGTAATATTGCGGGTTATTCAATTTTGGGGCCTAAATATTTGGCTGCACATTACCACAAGAGTAAAGTGTTGCAGAATTCGTTGAAAGCTGTGAGTATCCGTCAGCTGAGGGTTTTTTAAAAAAAAAAAAAAAAAAAAAAGATTTGCTGGTTTTTATCAACTAACTGTGAACATCTGTAAGGAACTGCATGTTTCATTCAAGTCGTTGCATTAAAGAGTTCAGCTCTGCTGTGGAGCTCAATAGGTCTGTACCTCAAGTACCAGCACGCTCCCTGCTCCGAATAGTGGCATGAGGATGGCTGGGCAAGTCCGTTTATAGTGATCTTTCGGAAAGGTTTGTACAGCTGTGAAAGAGGCATTAGAGGATTAAGGAAAACGCCAAAAAAACCCCCAACAAACTCAACCCAAAAAACCCCCAAACTAACTAAAGGCATGGTCTCTGTGGGAAGGTTGGGAACATGGAATACTGATTTTTATTGAATTCTGCTGCCCTTTTCTTGTGCTGTGCATATTGGGACCCCCTAAAATTTACTCTCATATACTTCTCCTGTTTCCAAGTAGAAAAAGCCTTGGCATTAGGTGTTATCCTGTTCCCAAAGCACTCTGAATTCCCAAGAACAAGGAGAAATGTTATAGTGTGAAACTTCTTACAATTTTATTTTGTAGTGTGAATGGCAACTTGCTTAATAAAGAAAAGCAGATATGACTAGAACAATTGGTTTGTGGGGTTTTATTTTGTGGGACTTGAGTTTTTTGTGGTGTTTGCTTGTTTGTGGTTTTTTTTGGTTGGGTTTTGTTGTGGGTATTTTTGTTGTTGTTGTTGTTTTGGTTTTTAGTTTGCCCCTATAGTTCACATGGCTTGTTGACATAGTAAGGCTGGCATGAATTTTGTGTAGTGTTCTGGAGTGGTTTTTCTTGAGAAGAACTTAATTATATTTTTCATTTTGTTCCCACACCTCCAGATACTTAACTGAAGGAAAAAAGAAAATGAACTTTTATTAGTTATTTTAATGCTTTAGTAATTTTTTTAATTTTTATTCGACCCTACTTTGAAATGAGTGTAATCTTGAGTCATATGAGTCTGGTTATAACGTGGACTGCATTGTATCGTAATGGATTCCCATTTGATTTCAGTCTGTGTTTTTCTTTGACTGCGATATCCTTGTTGGTCAATGTGTGCAAGCCCATGTAACAATGCAACCAAAACCCCATTATGTTCATGTAATATCATAGATTTTGTTGATACCATTTACGTGTTTTCAAGTTCTGTGGTGGATTATAGGTAGCATAAGAAAGAGTGGAAGTTAGAATTAAAAATAATACTCTTGAAAAGTAACTGATTACACTTTTATCTTTTTCTTCCACCCCCCCACCCCAGCTTGTATTTACAGTCTGTCTTTTGGAAGAAATTGTTAATCAATGAATTGTTGCCTGCTTGCTAGTAACAGTGAATTCTGAAAGTCCATTCTCCTATTTTGTATTATTTGAAGGCAGGTAGCCAAGAAAGCAGTCACAAGTACTTTGCTTCCCCAGGCCCTTTACCTCCTGTAAGGCTGTAACCTTAGAAAGGATGGTAATAGAACTCGTCTTTTTTGTAAAGGGTGAAGGCTAATGACTTTCTCTGACTCCTTGGCTTATCTTAGGTTTCAGCACTGCCTGCTCTGAGGCATCTGAACTGTGAGACACCCAGCCAGTGGAACTGCTTTAGGGTGACCTGGTTTTGGACCTTCAGCTTTCCAGAGGTGTTGGGGGAGGGGGGATTCCTCTCCCACATAGCTCTTCTTGCTGGGGTTCTGCAGGACCACGTTTCTTGCATCTTCTGTGCCGTGGATGAATATAGCCTTTGGGAACATGGGGGAACAATTCCGACGATACGAAGTGTGGTGTCATAACTGTACCACTTCCCCCCCTTAATTTCCTTTGGACATAGCTGTTGTAGAGCTTACCCAAGCCTAATGAATATGAGATTGGTGTGTCCTGCCTGATACCATCAATTAAACTTTACCAAGATCTTGGTATCTTTGGAGGATGCAGTTTGCTAACCTATTGAATCCTGTCACTACCGCAGTGCCGTAAGCAGAAAAAGGATTAATAAACTGTTGTACTTTACCGTGCCAGGTCAGAAAGCATCTTTATTTGTACTGCAGTCTGTATGTATTCTTTTTATTGTTTAAGCAATGCAGAGAGTTGATGTGAAGTGCCTTGGGGTTCTTGCATCTTTATCAGTACTTTTTAAAGCTATGCAGCTATATAGTATGAGCTTCTAATATTTCATAGGTCTTTTGAACTTGAAACTAGTAACTGTTCTGTATGTGGTTTTAATTAAAACAGATTCATGGTACTTTGTCCTTAAAACTACTATACAATTACTAACAGCTTCCAGTGTTTACCAGTTATTCCTTAACTTGACATACTCTTGGGTCAACAATAAGAAATTCCATTTTAGGTTGGCTTTTTACTAGTGTGTCCAAGTTTTAAGAAATAGACATCAATTCTTTACCATTAAAATTTATCTAGTTGAAGAATGAAGAAAGCAGAGCAAAAGTAGTAAGTAGTACATTCTGCTTACTTTACTGGTCAAGCACATACTATTATTTTGTGTGAAAATGTTCATATTGATGTATGTTATGTGTTCATAGTACAGCAAAAAATCCTCACTGTGTTTCTGTAAAATTGATTTTGCTATGGAAAGTGTCAACAGGGGGTAATGATTGAATCTGAAAACTTGTTTGCAGAATTACAGTCTTGCTGTGTATTCATATACATATTCATGTATATTCATATAGAGTTATAAATGACGCAGTGGTTTTAGAAATATAAATTAATCAAGCTTGATCTGTTTGACAGTTCTTTCATCCTTCTTTGGAGTGTAAGTTAATGATGATGAATGTCAGCCTCCAGTGAAAGTAGTGGTATGTCGTAGAATTAACTCTTGAATGCTGTTGAGTTTGCATTCTCCAATTCAGCCTGGGCTTTTTTGGTGAACTTTATCTTCTTAATAGCAGGTGATGGTTAAATTACTTCTACAACATGTTGTTCAAGATCTCAAACACACAATAGTAATACAGTTCCTATAAGGGGTTTGTTTGTTAATCTGAGCTCTGTTTTACAAAAATTGTATGAATACTGCTTTCCTTTGAAATTGATCTCGAGAAAGAAATCCTGTTTTGTATAATAAGATGCCAGACTCACCAAGATTTCCTTTCTTGTTTCATAGACGTTCCATCTTCAGAGCAGCCTGAACTGTTCCTAAAGAAACTTCAACAGTGCTGTGTTATTTTTGACTTCATGGACACGCTTTCAGACCTTAAAATGAAAGAATACAAGCGCTCCACTCTTAATGAACTGGTGGACTACATTACAATAAGCAGAGGCTGTTTGACAGAGCAGACTTACCCTGAAGTAGTTAGAATGGTGAGTTCCTTCTTTCTCATGGTCTCTTTAAATCCACTTGCAATTCCAGTTACGCATTGTGGGCGAAATTGAACCCTGGAGTAGGTGGATTAAATGAGGCCTTTGGTTTGTATTTTCTACTAGACATCACTTGGGGATAATTCTCCAAAGACAAAAATATTAATTTTTATATATACTTAATTAAAGTCAAGTAGATGATGGTTATTATAGTGTCACAAATGTAAGAAAGGAAACCTGGATTGTTTCCTGATGGAGAAAGCCAGCAGCCATAAAATCAGTGTCCCTCACATTTCCCCCCACCTACCTTCCCTCTCCCCACCTAGTATAAATAATGGATTAATTTTTGCAAGTTTCTTATCTTTCTTTGAACTTTGTCCAAGCTCTTGAGTGTGTACTTTAAGCAGAGATAGCTTAAACTATGCACAGATAATGATTTTTAAATAATAAATGCTAAAAATGTTGTATAGGATCAGTGTGAAAATTTCCTGGTTCTGTTATGTGGATTCATAGCAGCTGCTGTTAGAGTGAGCAAGATTAGTCAACATTAAAGCCATACCTTGTATATGTAAAATCTCAGATAGTAGTGTTTTCAGTGTAAAAATGGAAACAATACCAGATGCTAGCTATATGGTGAAGAATGTTCATTGTGATTGGCAAAATCAATCACTGCTTTAAAATGTTTATTCTGTACTACCATATGGAACACTTATAACCTGTTATCTAAATGAGAAAGCAATTAGTTAAATATAGATTTGGTGATGTTGGTTTCGTAATGGTACTGTCTGATCATGGAATCCACTGGCTATGTGCTGTAAGAAGAAAAACATGAATAGACTTTACATTGCATTATATATCCTCCTTATTTCTTTTCTGACACACAGTTACATGCTGTGTCGCTTGTCTGTAATATTTAAAAATAGCTGTAAATTCTGACAGAATCATCAACCAGTTAATAGCGAAGAAAAAACCAACAAATGAGAATTAAGGGTGTATGGAAAAATCTTAACATGGCTTCTTTGTGTGTATGCATTGTCAGAAAGCCTGTAATTATTTGATCAGATTCTTCCCCTTCTCCCTCACCCTTCTTTTCTCCCTTCTGTACTGGACCAATCTTCTGAATGAACTGCTTTTCAGTCTGTTGTGTTATTTGTTCAGCATGTGGCCTAATGCATCATTCAAATACTGGTCTGAATACAGAATTACTGGGTCTTTGCTGAATTCTGCTGCTGCACTGTAGTATCTAAATGGTTTGCAAATGTTAGTTTAATCTTACTTGTACCCTTGTGATGAAGAAATTATATCATACCCTTTGTGTAGACAGGATACTGATGCACAAGAAACTTCAATAAAATTGGGTACTTTTTCTGTGTGTAGAAGGTGCCTCCAAACTCACCTCCTGGGAGAATTTGGTTGGTGGGGTTTTTTTTAGCATTTCTGTGATTGAGGTTGTATTCTCGCATAGACTTTGGTGATAGTTGTTTACTGCAGCAACGTTTGTGGAATAAAGACTCTGCAAGTTAGTGTTATCTTAGGTTTGGCCCCAAGAAACAAGAAGAATTTGATCTGTAACTGCTCATAAAGTTCAATTTCAATCATAAATCATAACCTATGAAGCAATCTGAACTTGAACTGTAGAAGAGATGCAAAACCCTGTTGCTAGCATGTCCTGCTGCCCCTGCAGTCACTTATGTTGATTCACAAAACAGTTTTTATCTTAAGGAAGTGATGCATTGCCTGAATAGTTTGAAAAGCATGGTTTTAAATAATTTTCTTAAATATAGTCTGTAACTATGATATGGAGGAGTCACTGGAAGTAATGATACAGCATGAATTTTTCCAGTGGATTTCACAGATATGCTAATGGAGCTTCAGGAATTCCAGTTTCAGCTTAGCTCATTTTTGATGGAAAACTGTTCTATATTCTTTTCTTCAGTATTCCCCTGATCCTTTCATTATATCTTACTTTCTTCTGCCTTACATTTGGGCTCCAGTGCTGAACTCAAGTTTTCTTTTCAGTGCCAGGGAATTTATGCAGGGGATGACTGAGAATAATCTCAAGTCCTGCATCTGGCCACTCAGTGGCTTCTGACTGCCCAAACCCGGATTTTTTACAAATAAAAAGATGCCCAAGTAATTAGGGAAGTGGAAATGTTTTTTTTTGGCTAAAGAATTTCCTGAGAAAGTTGCAATATTTCAATTTTGTAAGAAACTGGATCCTCCAACAGACACCTGTGCTTTGATGAAGATGTAAGATATTGGAAAGAAAGTTTCAAATTTGGAAAGTTGTCATACCCAAATTGTGCCTATGGCAACCGGCAGTGTTCTTGATGTGTGTGCTCTTGGAAAAACACTTTGATGGTTGTATTCCGTGTGAGCAGGATGCTGTGCTCTGCTATTGAATTTATGTGAGTCAATCCATGGCAAATGCATGAATGATTTCTGTCGATCATCCCAACAAATGCTAATGCAGTGTTTCTGCTAAACAACATCATCAGGGCTTTTGTGCGTTGCACGTATTTTGTATTTTACAGATAGGCTATCTGGTAAAGGTGCTATTTTTCCTCCTGGTCTTTTGTCTATAAAAGCAAGACATCTCCATCACTTTGAGTGCAGTTATACAGCCCTAGAGGGAAAGGTAGGACTCCTAATATTATATACAATAAGTTTTCAGCACATATTGCTTGCTGAATAGACGGCATTAGTCACTTTGTGCTGAAGCATCATGTTTGGTGTAACTTGTTGTTTGCAATAAGAGTGTGGTTCTTGTTTCACACGGAATTGTGCTCATAATGATATACCGAGACAGACTTAACTGTACACAGTTGGCTTCATGAGTGCAACTGCCACCTTGATCTACTTCTGAGGATTTTCATCTGAGTCTCCAACTGTGTTCACAAAGGAGCTGTCACATTGACAATCTCTGACCTGTCATGACAGTGAAGAAAACAGCAGTATCTATGTCTTGACCAAATTAGCATCCCCATTGACTTCCTGCTGCCACAATTGTCACGGGAGTGTTTTGATTGAAAGACCACTATCTTAAAACTGATCAAAATGGAGCACAAGTGTTCTTTGTCCCTTTGGAAGGTCTTTGTTATTTTTAGCGTTTATGAATCCAGGAATTAATATTTCCTGCTTGGTCCTTTGGGCTACTGTAATTTGGAGGTGAAGTATTGTAAACAGGGGAAAAAGAAAGAAGCTGGTTTGTGAGTTTTGGCATCATTTAAGAGCAGAAAACAAGGCACACCAGACTGAAGCTGTTATTTTAAAAGTTACTAATACTTATAAAGAAGAATTAATGACTAAAGTGTTTTCTTATCTTAATTATCTAAACTGTCCAAAAAAGTAGTATCCGTGGAAGAGCCTTTCTTTGTTTTAAAGTTTTATAATGTACGTGTATATTAGTGTTCTCTGTTCATGACCCAAAAGGAGTTTGGCTTTACAGATATTAGGGCAGAAAAAGGTTGCCTGTAAAATTCTTCAGAAACTGTGAGAATTTTAATTCTTTCTAAAACGTGGTGGTGTTATGATATAGGAGTTTGAAAAACAGTCATTTGTGGTAGCCAGCATAACGGCTCCTGGATGTTTTTACTGCCAGTCATCCTAAATTCATGCCATTAAAACCTTAATCCCGAATCATAATATTGCATATTTTCGTCTTATTCTCTCGAGCGTATGATATGATGTTGTATATAGCTAAATGTGAAACCACTTGGCTATTTGTCAGCCTGTCTACATGTCCGCTTCTTTAAACCACTTTCTTTAGCTTGATATATACAGAAGTGTTTGGCATGTTACTGGTCATTAAAAAAATAGAATGAAATTGAATTTACTAATGGCCACCAAAGCAAGCTTGCAGTGGCCTCGTCACTGTCATCAATATCAGTTGATGGGAAGAGTGGTTGGGATTTGTGTTAATGGCCATAAGCTGGACAGATTTATTCAGGAGGGTATTGCTCAGTGTGCTTTCCCTGCAGTTTGATGTGTTGTTCAGAAGGGCATATGACATTCTTTAGAATTAGGCTAGTTTTAGGAAAAAAGGCCCCTGCCAATTAAACCACACTCTGTGAAGAAGGAAATGCCAGTAATATGACTTTATGAGCCAATAATTGGACACTTAATCTAAAATTTATTCCTGTCTGAGCAGAATGTGGAGGCTTAAACTAATGATTCTGATTTTGCTGGTAGATTAAGCAATGGTAGTTGAATGAAATAAATGTTTGTTGTTATTTGTAGTATCCTAAAGGGTGTATGTAGTAGAGCTTTTTGTGTTTTCTGGATATTAAGACATAGATTGAGGAAACTGATTTCTTTCATTTAAAAAATCGAATGGGAAAAATTGACAAGCTCTTAAACTGAGAAATCTGGATGAATCTCTTTGTTGGTGAGCAACATTTCAGCTCTCCTGTTTGCTTCTTCAAAAATTATAAACACAACCCTGATGTTTACCGTGATGTTTACGCAACATCTGTTGGACAACAGCCAGCCCATAAGAGATGGCTAATGAAATTTTTTTGAGACACCCCTTTTAGAATGGAATAGTATTACTTTGTTCTCCTCTCTT